TAACAGTAGGAGGGGGAGGGAGGCTGAGAGGGGAACGGGAGATCGATAGAGAGTCGCGAGTCAAGCCGAGTTGGGTCGAGTTGAGTCGAACGTAGTCGATCTAACTAGTTAGCTAGCTAGCTAGCTAGCAAGTTAGCAAGAACGCAAGTTAGCAAGCAAGCGAAAGCTTCTTCTTCTTCTTCTTCTTCTTTTTTCATCTTCTTTTTCTTCTCCTCGTTCATGTTCTCATAACGAAACGATAGAACTTTGCTCGCAATCAAGGATCTCGACCCTTTACCCGAGGCTGCTTATACGAGCTCGTATATAAATCAATTCATCGACCTAACGACGCGAGTTTTCTCGCTTCGATTCGCACTGTGTGAGAGGTGGTGGTCCTCCAATTGCTAGCAACCACCCAGCTGCTAAACGACGACTCCTACGAACGGGAAAGAAACAAGCAAGCAACAAATAAATAAATAAATAAAGAGAAAGAAAGAAAGGAAGAAAGAAAGGAAGGTAGATACGTCGAAGCTCGTCATCCTTCGAAAGACAAGCGAGTGATTTCTTACCACTAAAACTCGACTCATGTATCCCCCTTTTAGCTAGCTGGCTWGCTAGCTAGCTATGCGAGACCCCTAACACCCATCGCTATAAACCGTATCGCGTTCCTCGCGAAACGACGCACGCCCTCTTCTTCTTTCTTTCTTTCTCTATACCCATCTCTACACCACCACCATCACCATTACCATCACCATCACCACCACCTATCCATATATATATATATATATATCTTTCTGTTTCTCTTCGCATTCTTTGTTTTTCTCGTCAAAGAAACTTGCTCAAGGCGTGTACGACCTAATAGTCGGGGTCTCGGGTGTGTGATAAAATATTATCAACCAGTCTCCGTAGTATCTCTCTCTCTCCTCTTCCCCTCGCCCCTACCTATCAGACCCCGTGTTTTTATTTTCTTCATAAATATGCCTAGTCTAAAAAAAGAAAAGAAAAGAGATATAGATACCACCGGATAATCTAACTGGCATGATAAAAAGTATGAACAATTTTCATGAATAGATTAACGCGACAAAACGTCCTCCTTTCCCTTTCGTTCGGGTTTAAGTATCGCGGGGGTGCGATCAACGATGATGTGCTGCTACTCATCGTCGTCGTCGTCGTCGTAGTCGTCGTAGTCGTCGTAGTCGTCGTAGTCGTCGTAGTCGTCGGCTCTTAGTTGGACGTTGAGCCATCCTATTAGATATACATATACATATATATATATATATATATATATATATATATATATATACGCGCCTGTGTCACGGGTCATCGGCCCTCGGATATTCTTGGCAATTCTCTCTCGTTCTCTCTCTCTCTCTCTCTCTCTCTCTCTATCCCTCTTTCTAACACGCCTCTTCTTCTTCTTCTTTTTTTTTTCTTTCTCCCTCTCGGGATGGCACACGAGCCCTCCGATTTACTACTCGTTCGCTCCCCCTTGCACGGGGTCAGCCCTTCTCTCTCTCTCTCAGCCCTCCTCCTCCTCCTCCTCCTCTTACCTCACTCTCGAATTCGCGCTTCAGAGCATCCCAACGATGGGAGAAAGACTCTTCGTTCGTTCTTTCTTTCTTTCGTTCGTTCTTTCTTTCTTTCCTTCCTTCCTTCCTTCCTTCCTTCAAGCCGATTCTCATTCTCCGATCGACTTTAAGTTCATTGCACCGAGAGAGTTACTTGGGGATATCGAGCCACACCGACGAGAGAGCTCCTTCCGCTTTCACTTTTTACAAGTCTTCTTCTTTCTATTGATAATAATTGAAGCCTTCCGTTCGATCCTATTCTTCTCTTTTATTTTCTTATCTTCTTTATTTATTTCTTTCTTTCTTTCTTTCTTTCATTTCTTGTCTCTTTTAAATTCACGCACTCACGCATGCACGCACAAAGTTTGTCATTCAAAGTCGAACAAAGTGTAGGCAATAGGTCAGGCTTTTTAATAATTCTTACGTCATGAAACGGCGCTATCGAGTAGAACGATCTAGTTTTACTATGTATATTATATACATATTTGTATGTGTGTCTGTGTATCTGTGTGTATGTGTGTGTGTGTGTGTATGCATAGTGATTTAATATCTCTAGAAGAAATACGTGTATTATACACGTACGAAGAGAGAGAGAATTTCTAGTCAAATTTTAACATAGGCAGATTAGAATCGGTTACGGTTAAAAATGTTTCTACGATGAGTGAGAAGGTCAGAATTTTCTAACATTTCAATTATTTCATTATTTGATTATACTTTAATAAGATATTAGGTAAATTTTAACATAGGCAGATTAGAATCGGTTGCAGTTAAAAATGTTTCTACGATGAGTGAGAACGTCAGAATTTTCTAACATTTCAATCACTTCATTATTTGATTATACTTTAATAAGGTATTAGTGTCATCATAGGGTGAATATCGAGAAATCATTCATAAATGTATAATACTTCTTTTTACATATATATATNATATATATATATATATATATATATATATATATATATATATATATATATATATATATTGAGAAATATAGTTACTTAAATATTTTTTCTTCTTCTTCTTTTTTTGTTTTCTTACTTGTCTACTTCCCAAAACCACCGCGTGCGTACTCTCTCTCTCTCTCTCTCTGTCTCTCTCTTTCTCTCTTGGTTTGACTTCTTAAAAAGATATTACGATACGGTAAAGCCAACCACAAAATAGAAGTCGATGGACCGTTTGGCAAGCTCAAACCGCAAGGATAAAATTCGACCGACTGTTTATCCGGTATAGCCTTGCCGTCAGTTGTCTGACGGTAAGAGAGGGACCGGACCGTACGGTACAAACTCGACCGCAAATGATCACCTCCACCTCCTCCTCCTCCTCCTCCTCTTCCTCCTTCTCCTCTCCTTCTTTCCGCACATCGTTCACAACAACAACAACCTCTTTCATCTTTTCTAATTTCGACCATCCTCCTCTTCTACTTCTTCTTAATTGAATTTCTTTTCTTTACTTTATACTTTACTTTACTTTACTTTACTTTACTTTACTTTACTTTACTTTACTTTACTTTACTTTCTTTTCTTTTCTTTCTTTTTTTATTTCTTTACGTAGAAACTATTACGGACCACTACTGTTACGGGTACGGATTGCTCGAATCAATAAATTCGATTCTCCCTCTTTCCAATCGTACGCAGGGCGTGTACACAGACACAAAAAAAAGAAATACATATATATATATATATATATATATATTTCAAGATACGCGAGAATCTTATTCTCGGAGAGGAGAAAACCCGTTTCTTCTTCATCTCCTTTCATTTCAATTCCTTTCCTTTCCTTTCCTTTCCTTTCCTCGAAAAAACAAGGTTCCTCTCTGGAACGACCATAGGTACGCCAAGCATATAATTCCAATATTTCGGTCAATTTCGTGGACCGAATATTCGAAAGCAAAGAGAGAGAGAGAGAGAGAGAGAGAGAAGATTGAATTACACCGTAATTCCGTCTGCTTGTCTGTAACCAACCAACGCAAGGGTTTTAAATCGCGATTCTTGTCGGCCGCAATAAAGTGCCCGGTACTTGGTTGGTTGGTTGGTTGGTTGGTTAGTTGGTTGGTTGGTTGGTTGGTTGGTTGGTTGCGCTTGCATGAAATAGCTCCGACGAGACGTCACTCTTATTACGAAGGCTACTACTGCTGCTGCTGCAGTTGTTGCAGTTGTTGCTGCTGCTGTTGTTGTTCAAGACAACTACGTGCCTCGCCTTCTGTAAATGGCATTAAGGCCCACGTGTCGGCCCCATTTTTTTTACCCACCGATCCTACAACAATCTTTAACTTTTATTTGACTGACCTAAGTGATTTCCTTCTTTTTTTTTCTTTCTTTCTTTCTTTTGATTGAAAGCATGCATTGATTCATAATTTTTCGTTCATTTCGTTTCACATGTTTTCTCTCGTCTCAAGTACCACACAACATTTTATCAACGTTGAGAATATTTTTTAACACGCGACTACAGATTAAAAGTAATACTTCTGTTTAGATCGTCTGATATGATAATTTTGTGTACTTTATTTAATATTAATATTGTACGGCTCGGTGTCGTTGTATTTATTTATCTCTTGTTTTAAATGATGAAATTTGTTATTCATTTCTATATTAATCGATTGAATATATTTTCTACAAATTATGTTACTCTTGATCGAATTATATTAACGTGGCCATTTTGAAAAGCATCCAGTTGAAAGGGAGAGAGTTTATTACACGTAACAAACACGACGACGCTTTAAAGTAAAAGTAACATTATAGGAAATATTAAAGCGTACAAAATATTTCTTGTATTCGATGATGATATATGATTTATCTTCTATTTCGATATCATCAATTTTCTCCAAATGATATTGCTTTAATTGAAATTATTAAAGTAGTCGTATATTGAAAAGCATCAAATTGATTGCACTTAACGTAACGTGCGTAAAAGTAAAAAAAAAAAAAAAAAAATAGAAAAAAAATAAAGAAAACGACGTTTGGTCCTTTAGCATTAGCGTAATCTCTTTCGTAGTAAAATTATATCGATATAAGTTGGCAAAGAAAAGAAAAAAAAAAGTTTTAATTCTTCTTATCTTCTTTCGACTACGATTCCACCATTATCGTTTATTTTTCTTTTTTTTTTTTTTTACTCTTTCTTTTGACTCTTTGATACTTATATATATTATAATCAAACTATTCCACACACGCATGTTCACGCATACTTAGGCACGTATAAAAAGGCAAATGTCGCGTCGAGCGACAAAAAGACAACGAACGTCAACAAGCAGATCTTACTTTTGCGAATCGCCTTTCGTTTGTTCTAAGAAGAGAGAGTAGCAAGCTTTATCGGTCATTATCATATCCTTCGGTCTCATTTCAGTAACGTAATTCGACCGACACACACACAGTGTGTGTGTTACTCTTAAGCGAAATTCTACAAGTTTCTACTAATGGATTCTACTACTACTACTACTACGTTCTATTATCGTTGCAGAGTGGAAAGCTCGACCCTGCAGTTGGTCTGCCCATTGGATTCTCGTCCGGTGCAGCTAATCTTTCGTGGACTCCAGGTATTCAAGGAGAAGCGAACACTTCTTCGTGATGTTTCGGGAGTCGTCAAGCCGGGCGAGCTTTTAGCAGTTATGGGCCCTTCAGGTATTTATCATCGTCATCGTCATCGTCATCATCATCTCATCTTCATCTTTTTCTTATTCTTATTCTTATTCTTTTTGTTGTTCCTCCTTAGGTCCTAACGAACCTATTCGTAAATGCTAGGGAGTTTCTTTTTTCAACAACGATCAAATTCATCTTTGTGATTATACATCTACCTACCCAACCCAATCCTACCTTACCCTACCTACCAATCCGATGATGATTTTGCGAAAACAAATATTCACTTTAGGTTTAATCTCATTTACGTTTCATCGACATGATGGATATCTTATGTTATCTTATGGTGGTTATTATTATAAATCGCGTTTTAAAATAGTTAAATATTACATTAACAATTATGATGGATTTTGTGTAAAAAGGATGCGGGAAAACGACGTTTTTGAATTGCCTCTCCGGAAGGGTCAGTCTGGACGGTGGAGATATTTGGTTGAATCGCGAGAGACTGACGAAAAGATGGCGTCGTAGGATTTGTTACGTACAACAACAAGACGTTTTCTTTCCTGATCTCACGTTACGACAAACCTTAGAGGTAAGTTAACAATATTTAAAAAAAAAAAAAATGACTTCGTAACGGTTGGCTTATACGCTCCTAATAAAAATACGACTAACTATTAATAATGTATGTAGAATTTTCTTGAAAAAGAAGTTTAGCCGGTTACGGTTCGATGCTTGGATAACTGGCCCAATTATAATGCGTTATGATATTTGAACGGGAAAGATTTTTTTGGAATGATCGACGAATAAATATATCATCGAAATATCATTTCTCTCTTTAGTTTTGATTCTATGATTGATCATCGAATATCATAATTGCCGATGTTTCTCGAATGACATGGAATTTTTCGCTTTTTCAAATTTGCAATTACACCCCGTTTTTAACATATTACTTTTTTCACGAAAAACTGACCACGAGAGGAAAAGAGGACGACTGACTGACTCTGACTGACTGACTGTTGTTGGTAACTTTATTATTGCGTGCCTTTCACTCGGAATTTATCAAATCCCACGCTGAAAAGTGGGCGCGAATTAGGAGAACCACCGCAGAATTCGCGCCTACGTCTTTTGCCTATCTCGCGAGACTTGACGTCGTCGTTCTCGAAAGAAATCAAGAGAGAGAAAAAGAGAGAGAGAGAGAGAGAAATAAAGAAATAAATAAATAAGAAAGAAAGAAAGAAAAAGAAAAAGATCTAAGCTCGTAGTGGCCGAAAGCCAAGCAACTAACCAACTAGCCAACCAACCAACCAACCAACCAACCACCCTCCTCGTCCTCCCTTTCGTCTTACCTCTCGAGTAAGAAAATTTAATGCCTCCTCGTTGAACCGCTAATTGAATGCGATGACGCGTGCATACTATTTCATACTGCATACTCTTTCTCTTTCTCTCACACACACATAAGAAATCGAGCTTATTTCGTGTATATATATAAATACGAATCATTCAATTTATTTCGTGTATATAAATCTTTTCACTTTTGCAATAAAGAAAATGGAAAATATAAGGAGGGTGGGAGGGAGGTAGGACGATAAATAGGGATTGCAAAAACGGTGTTTATTTTCTACTTAAATGAGGAAAAAAAAATGTTCAACAAATTTGTAGATTATCGTTAAACGTCGGCCAGGTAGGAGGAGCCTTTTGGGTGCTTAGGCGAGTCCGACCGTTAGGACATAGAAAGAGAGAGAGAGAGAGAGAGAGAGAGAGAAAGAGAACTGTGTGCTGCGTGAACGATCATGAGAAAGAGAGAAAAAGAGAGAGAATAGTAGACGGAGGCGGCCCGGGGGCGGCTCTCTCACGATGACGTCATAACTCGGTCAGTGAACCGCTGGCGGTGGCGCGACGGCAGCACCGCATCGTACCGCACCGCACCGCACCGCACCGCACTGTATCGTATCGTATCGTATCGTTTCGTATCGTATCGGTACCGCACACAGCATAAAGCAGCACAGCACGCGCGTCTTACATCTTTCGAAAACACTCGGCGCCGTCTAACATTCTCATAGATTTCAACTTTTCTTTCTTTCACATACGCTCACGCTACGTATATTTATATGTGTAAGAATTTAGATACGAGAAATCAAAAACTATATTGAAAATTTTATGCAAATTTGTATTTGTCTATCTTTTGCACGTTATAATACGTGGGGAAAATCAAATCATTGATTTCTTATTTTGTTTTGTTTTTTGTTGTTTTTTTTTTCCTTAAAAAGTCAACATTTATAAATTAAAAATTGCAAGATAAATAATTAATATATTTGTTAGAAAATTGTCTAGGTTTTTTTTTTAGTTCTCTCTCTCTCTCTCTCTCTCTCTCTCTCTTTCTCTCTCTCTCTCTCTATCTATCTAATCTATCTATCTTTCCGTTGAATATGCGTAAACATGGGAAACGGTAAAGGTAAACATCGTCGACGACTACGGCACTTTCTCTCTCCGTGTAACGGGTCGCGAGTCTTTAAAGTCTTGCGTCTCTTCCATTGCGTTCGATCGTGTGATTACATTTTTTTCTTTTCTCTATCTCCCTCTCTCTCTCTCTCGTTTATAAAAAATTCAATTGGACAAAATAATAAAGAATGGTGGCACACGAGAAAAGGAAAATTGTTGCATTTTTGGTTTTTACGATATTACACGGCAAAACATTGAATATCCACGGATGCGTAAAACCAGGCCACCGTGGGATTAAAGATGGCAAGCAAGCAAGCAAGCAAGCAAGCGGATAAGATATTTTAATACATTTGCCTACCAACCAATCAAATCGATCGTTTACGATTTTCAGTACCAAGCGAGGCTGAGACTTCCGGACGCGCTGACACACTCGCAGAAGATGCAATGCGTCGACCATATCATCGAGGTTCTCGACCTCGCGGCCTGCCAAGATACCAGTGAGTATATCAACCAAAGAAATGTAAGCCGATCGAAGGAAAATATGAAGTTGATATAATAGTTTATATGAGACGTATTTTTTTTTGTTTTTGTTTTTTTTTTTTTCATATCGATAGATATATGCACATATTTCATTGTTTGTCGTAATAAGAAACCTTTTTACTATCTACTCTGGGATATATTATTTATTTCATTTATATTCTTTTATTTTCTATTATTTTTAAACGCGTTTAATCATACGCTTCAAAGAATTGTAACTGTTTTAATTATAGAAGAGCACGATCACGCTCTTAATTATTGAACTTCAAGAAATGAATAATATCACTGACATATTGTTTCTTATTTTTTGTTTTTTGTTCTTATAGTAATCGGCGATTATACGAGGCGAGGATTATCCGGTGGCGAAAAAAAACGAACGAGCATAGCCTGCGAATTACTCACAAATCCGTCCTTAATGCTACTCGACGTAAGCTTTTCATTTTGTATCCTTGTAAAAAGAAAATTACGGTGTAATATTTAAGGGTTATACGATGATATTATTATTATTATTTATCATCCTACGTTTGTAGGAACCAACGAGTGGCTTGGACTCGCACTCCGCGCAAGCTTTGATATCTCGACTAAAAAAATATGCCGAACAAGAGGGCAAAAGTATCGTCGTAACTGTACATCAACCAAGTTCACGGATGTTTCATAGCTTTAATAAGCTTCTCTTGTTAAGCCGTGGACAGGTCGCCTATTACGGTTCTACGGCTAACATTGGCAGGTTCTTCTCGACCATCGGATTGACTCTTCTGCCTCATTACAACCCAGCTGACTTTATACGTGAGTAGAAAATCCAATGAAATATTTCATGATTTATAGGGTATCCAAAATTACGAGCTGTGGTCTGATCGAAACTATCGAAACTTTGTAGAATATCTCGAATGAAATTTAGGATTCTTAGCGTAACAAATTTCGACGTCTAATTGCATTGCAAAAATCACATTAAAAAAAAAAAAAAACAACAACTAATACTATTTAATTTAAAATTCAGGTCACATGTCATAAATATCGGTTAAACAAATAAACAATAATTTATTACATAATAAATTGGAGCCAATTCATATGAGACTTTGATCATTTCGAGCATTAAAATTGCAATCGAATAGCAGGACGGATCATTCAATCCTTTTATTTTCCTTCCCTTCTTTCTTTCTTTTCAGTCGAGCAAATAAAGGGCCCGGAGGAAGTACGAGAACGCATAGTAGCTGCAGCTCGAGCATCGAGACAGGGACCGGACTGTCCACCGGAACTTCGTCCGGACTATAATCCCAGCCAACATCCGCTCTGCGACCATCTCATCCATTATCACGAACATCACATCGGGCACAACGGTATTACGCAGTATGCGCAACACCACGACTTTACTCTCTCCTTCTTCTTTTTTATTTTTTTTTTTTTTATTTCTTTTCTTTCCCTAACCTAACAACAAATCGTACCAATACAAACGTTTGTTTTAACAACGTTTTAACAACTATGGAAAATGCTAATCATACATTATTGGATAAAACCAAGTACACATTATCAAGTTTCGATCGTAAATGCACGTCATTGTAATAGTCCGGCTATCGGTAAAAGAATGTTTTCCTCAAACATACACATATGCATCGTGCATACACAACGTGTTGAACTATTTGATATTTTTCATCAAACCGATATTCGTGTTTTTGATTTCAAGAGAATAGTAAAACGTGTAAAGATTCTTATCGATAATGTTGTCAACGAAAATTCTCATTCACTCGCGATAAAAGATATCATTTGATTGTTATTAAAGTATTACAAATGTATTATTAATATTTTGACAATGATTTTCTAGGAAAGGAAGACGAAGGTGGCAACTTGTGGTTGGATACGCAGAGTCATGCAAGCAGCAGCGCTAATTCCGCGGACGACGATTATTCGTGGCAGTGGCCAACCAGTTTCTGGTCTCAATTCAAAGTTAGTATATTATTTAATGATAACAAATGAAAAAAAAAATGTCAATTGCAAAAAAAGGGGGAGATCAATTTCGCGTTAGTTAGATTTGTTTAGTAGTTTACGTAAAAAACACTTTGCTGACCAAGCAACAGCGACACGATAAAAGTGTTGCTGTTGGGTGGTCTGCTGGTTGTTATTGGTGCATTTACGCATACACGTAAATCAGGGCTTTGTAAATCGCAGAGAAGAGCGAAAAGCGTGGTGTACGCGTAAGTTGGCGCGAAAGGGAGCCGCCGGTTGTGCAGAAAGGGGAACTAGGTCGCGTTTACGCGATTCACCATATCCGGATAATTACCACGAAGCGCAGTAACATGCTGTTGCTGTTGCTGTTACTGCTACTGCTACTGCTACTACTGTTACCTCTCTTTCCCTTCGTAATGGCGCTTCGTACAAACGTTTACACTTTTACCTTTTTCTTTTTCTCTTTCTTCTTCATCTTCTTCTTCTTCTTCTTCTTATAATTCTTATATGTTTTTTTTTTTTCTTTCTTTCTTCTAACCTCTTTCGATAAATCAACGAGACTTTCGTTATCGATAAAGAAAAACGAAAAAATAAAACTGAATTATCTCGTTAAACAAATCTATTACACGCATTTGAGCTAAATTTACGAACAAGTGTGATTATCTTTTGGAGAAATCGTATTTCCTTTTCTATTTATATTTGTTCATTCTTTTTCTTTCTCTCATTTAGTATCTATCTATCTATCTATTATATATATCTCTATAAGTTTATATGTGTACATCGTTTGTTCTTGTACATACGATAGGTATTATCGGAAAGAAATTTTCAAGAGGCACGACCAAGAATGCTGTCTCGCTTAAATTGGCTACAAACGATAGCCCTAGGCTTGTTGGCTGGTCTTTTATGGCTCAGGCTACCTAGGACCGAAGCTGCCCTTCACGACATTCAAGGATGGATGTTCTTCAGCACCACGTATTGGATGCTCTTCGCGCATTTTGGTGCACTCTCCAGTTGTAAGTTCATATTTTTCTCTTTCAAATTGTAATCACGTTATATTTGAAATTATTTTTTTTTTTTATAATAACCCGGGTTAATATAAATGTCCAATTTGTCAATTTTTATTTCAATATTTTTCGATTGCAACGTGGGTAAAAGAGAGCTTCGTGAAAAGTTCTAAAGTTTTCATCAGGTAACTCTCGTACGATTGCGCAACGAGCGCAAAGCCAAACGAAGCTGATTGGTTAATTGAGCCTCAACGTAATACGTTCAATCGGGCATTCAACAACACTTTTTCTTTCTTTTTTATTTCTCTTCTTTTTCTTTTTCTTTTCTTTTCTTTTCTTTTTTTTTTTTTTTACTACAAAGATATGCAAAAGGACACGACGGAACGTTCAATGAAGAATCTCGAGGTATGTGGGACGCAGTATGACCCAGTAAAAGCGATGGTCATAACTCACAATTAGAGGGGGAGAAGTCCAGTTACAGTCATCGGCTCAAAGATTTGGACACGACCTTTTATTATGTTAATCTAACGGAAATCCAAGCAGACATGTATTATTATATTTTTCTCTCCCTACCGTTCTCTTCCGTTCTGCCTTGGTGTGGTCACTCTGTGTGTAACTTACTTTTGATCATATGTTTTTGCAGTTCCTCCAGAACGGGAGGTTATCAACAAGGAGCGATTATCGGGATCGTATCGGCTGTCGGCCTACTACCTGGCGAAAATGGTCGGCGAGCTGCCATTGACGATAACACTACCCGCCGTTTACCATATCATTAGTTACCCAATGTTGGGCTTCCAGAGCCCTGCGGTTTTTGTCACCTTGTTGGCATTTTTACTTCTAAACACCATTGTCGCTCAGGTTTGCATATTTGTTAAGTTATGCACTTTGCGTTAAGTTCGTTAAGGATTTTCAATAATAATTAATAGAGCATGGATGCCCTTTTAAAAAGTTCATTCTCCTAGAATTTGTTATACCATTATTTTTAGAGCGTCGGATTTTTCGTTGGCGCCTGTTGTCTGGATCTTCAAGTGAGCATAACCGCTAGCGCCTTGTACACGCTCGCAACCCAACTGTTGGGTGGTTACTTGGCGACAGCTGTACCACCATGGCTAGCATGGGCTCGATACGCTAGCATGGTACATTACGCCTATCAAAATATGCAGATTCTCGAATTTGGCGTTGGAGAACCAATTGCGTAAGAAATCATTCAGCAATCATTTCTCTTGCTAATTATACAAACACCATACGTAGAAACAAAGTCTTGATAGAATATAATAATAACAATAATAATAATAATAATAATAATAATAATAATAATAATAATAATAATAATAATAATAATGAATGAGTAATTGGTTGTATCTTATTATTTCTTTTCTCTCGTTCTCGACATTTTTCTCCAATTGGTTTAGTTTATCTTTTTCTTGTTCTCTTAGGTGCTCCCAGCCAAGTAAGTTTCTCGAATGCAAGAACGGTACAACGATACCCGTATCGGCAATACTGGAGAACCAGGGTGGCGCAAGGGGTTCGGGTTTGCCACTTTGGGCAAACACGGCAGTTTTGTTAGCCTTCCTCGTCGTTTTCCGTACTCTCGGATACCTCGTACTGCGTTATTATCGCGTACCCAAATGAGACGGCCCAACTAAGGCTTACCTATTAATCTAGGTAGCAATCATACTTTATTTTCTACGTACTCTCTTTAACGTCGTTTAAATGAGTATTTGTGCAACAAACAAACAAAACCAACCGAACTCTTCGATAAACGGTGTGTGTGTGTGTGTGTGCGTATGTGTGTGTGGAAAAAGTGAACGGATTTGATTGACACTCAAAAAAACAAAAAAGACCGTTCGTTCTTATTTTTATTTCTTTTCAAAATTTCAACTAACGAAAGAATAATTGTTAATAATAGATGCGAGGCTACGATTCCGGATAGCTAGTCATCTCTCTCTCACTCTTTCGCTCTCTCTCTTTCTCTCTCTTTTTTATTTTCATTCAATCACCAATGAAGAAGACCCATACACCATTTTGGGTTATACCAATTTTCGATGTTAGAAAGAAAAAAAGATAGAAATGAATAGAAGAAAATGAATCACACAGTAGGATAATAAAAAGAAAATTATCCAATTTTTGGCACTAAGAGATTAGGCGTGTTAATTATTATATATATATATATATATACACACACATACATTTACATTGTATAATATATCTAGAAAATTTATAGGCGTGCTACGAGCAAGATGAGAGTCCAAAAATGAGGACACAATCGTATAAAAATTTGAGAAAGAAGAAGATAAAAACAAGAGAGAAGGAGAAGGAGGGAAGAAGAGAGAGGAAGGTAGAAAAGGGAGAATAAAAGAGGAGTATGTAAGGGAAAAAGAAAACCCTTAGCGTATGTACACGTCAGGTGATACACACTCGTCTTTTCATCGTACCTTGTTTCTTTATCGTTGTTGGTTTACTTTTTCATTTTTTTTTTTTTCTTTCTTTATATATATATAAATTTTTTTTTTGTATGTAGCGGCGAGAAGGGTATAAATAAGAAAATAATTAAAACAAAAGGAAACAAAAAAATAATACACGCGTACGGCGTACGAAAGGGCCGTAAAAAAAAAAAAACCGACTGACCGTCTGCGTAGGAGCGAATAATATAATGATAAATAAAAAAATAAAAAAATTTAGCGCTCTAATTGTATATGTGCGCAATAATGCGCGTATGTGTCTCTGCGTATGTGTAATGCGAACTTTGAATGGACGTATGTGCAAGCACGTGCTTTTACGAATGAATGGAATAGTCATTATTCGCGTGGTTCGTAAGAATCAGTTGTTAATATTTGATTATTATTATTATTATTATTATTAATATTATTATTACTTTTATTATTATATTATTATGATTATCATTCTATCATATTATTATTATTATTAATATTATTACTATTACCATCGACGTCGTGTCATTAACGAGTAAAAGTATATTTTTATCTTTTTATTACCGCAATAATAATTTTATTGTTTATCGCATTATTACGATTTATTTGCTATAAATCACATTGTTATCATCGTCATCGCCATCATCGTTTTCATTATTATTATTATTATTATTATTATTATTAGTAACGTCGATACCATATCATTACTGCTATTATTGTCATTATTAATTATTATTAATTATTATTAATTATTATCATTATATTATTATTATTATTATTATTATTACTATTATTATTTTTATTATTATTATTATTATTATTATTATTATTATTATTGCTATTATTCTTATTATTATTAATAATAATTATTATTATATATGCATATATATATGCATGTGTACATATGTGTATGCGTGTATATGTGTATATGTATAAACCATAATTGTATTTACACATACATATGCGCATATACACGTGAAAAACGTTTCTTTTTTTTTTTTTTTTTTTTTTTTAATCGCAACAAACGACGTGATAAAAGAGTCGATTTGAAAAGTCGCTTTTTTTTTTTTTTTTGCTGCGAAGTGTAACGTGCATAATTGTACGTTTAGGAAAGAAAGAAAGAAAGAAAGAGAAGACTTTCTCGCATTTCTCTAACATACGACGAACCCGATGATAATCGTAATCGATAATACGATTTTTGTTGTTGTCGTCGTCGTGTGTGCGTGTAAGTAAGTTTTATACCAAGAACTCTTGTGACGCGTTTAGTCGTCATCGTCATCGTCGTCGTCGTCGTCGTCGTCGATCTTTTCCATTACGCTTCATTTTCTCACCCTACCCCTGTCTCTTTCAACCCCCATTCCTTTCTTCCCTCCCATTTACCCTTTAATCCTTAACCCCTTATAAACCCCGTTTTATTTCCATCGCGAAAGCGGCAACACGCGGATCGTTTTAAAATAAATTACAACAAACGTGTGTGCGTGCGTGCGTGCGTGCGTGCGTGCGTTCGTGCATGCATACAATTGCGTGTGTGCGAGTACGCGTTTCGTGGTAACAAATATAAAATAGGTAGATAATTGCAGCTATATTCGAAAGAAAGGAAGGAAGGAAGAAATAAATAAATAAATAAATAATTTAATAAATAAATAAATAAATAAACGATACAAGACTATTGCCATTGCGTAAAAATAATGAAAAAATAAAAACGAAACGAAAAGAAATTATAAAAAATAATTGCGAGAACGAAGAAAAATGGAATGAAACGAAACGTAGAAAAGATAAAAAGCAAAAGCAAGAGAGAGAGAGAGAGAGAGAGAGAGAGGGAGAGAGAGAGAGATAGGTGTGGCGTGATTTAAAGAAAATAATAATGATAAATAGGTATCGTGAACTGGACGAACTCGTTATAACAAACAAACAAAAACACGAAAGCTCTAATACAAGAAAGCTCGTGCTTTTTATTTGTTGCATTAGTAAAATGAAAATGTTTGATGATTTAAAAAAGTGATATTAGCTTTACGATTATAATCGTTCGTACGAATAACTGGTATATTCGTTTGTCGATTAAATGAACTAGAAAAGGAAACAAGAGAGAGAGAGAGAGAGAGAGAAAGAAAGAAAGAAATAGAAAGAGAGATTGAAAGAGAGAGAGAGAGAAAGAGAGAGAGAGAACGAGGAATAGATAAATAGATAGATAAAAAGATAGAAAGATAAAAAAATAATACATATACAAAATCGAATGCATATCTTCTTATGCGCGTTACGAGCGAGCGAGCGAGCGAGCGAGCGAATGATAAAAAAAAAAAATAATAATAATAATAATAATGATCGCTGGATAGTTCTAATAGTTCGTAATTATTGTTGTTGTATATTTTTTTTTGTTTTTATTCTTTTTTTTCTTTCCTCGCCCCTGTCAGCGCTCCCTCACCCCCCTACCGCAAGCCGCCCACCCCCTCTTCACACAAAGTAGAAAGGACCATTATTCTCGTAAACGGCGATTGTTACGAAAAAAAAAAATAATAATAAATAAATAAATAATAATAATAATAAATAAAAAATAAAATGATTCGAGTCGTGTAACGTATATATATATATATATATATATACATATATATAAAAAAATTATTATATATTAGACGTTTTCAGATACGCGATTTCTGAACCTTTTAGATAATATAATAATATTAATAATTATAATAATAATAATAATAATATTAATAATAATATTAATAATTATAATAATATTAAAGATACGGAAATACCCGAAGAGTTTATGGTAGATCGGGTCATTACGAAGCTGAACCAATATCCAATAGAAATGGCATAATATAAAAGAAATGAAAGAAAAATGAAAAAAAAAAAAAAATAAGAAAATTATTATAAACGATAAAATCTCGACAAAATGTTGGTTGGTATCTTAGGAGAAAAATTCGTTGACACATTGACTCGACTCGGATCATAATTTTCTGAATCGTTGATCAAACTTTCCAAATAAAAAAAAAAGAATAAAGAATGGAAAAAAAAAAGAAAGAAAGAAAAAAAGAAAGAAAGAAAGGATAGGGAAGATCCATACGAGACGCAATAATAATAATAATAATAATAATAATTAAAAGAATGAATAATTAAATAAAATGAGAGCGCGCGTATTATTGTATTATTACTCCTCGAAAAAGAGTTGAAAGAATAAGGAAAAGAAGAGGAAGAAAGAGGAAAGAAAAAAAAAATTAAGAAAGGATTGATTATTTTAACCGAGAGATAAAGAATCACGAGAAAAATTGTCCAGTACACGCAAATGCAATATCCACCACGTGTTCAATCGATTCTTTGTATGATGATGATGATGATGATGATGGATGGATGGATAGATGTATGTGTGTATGTGTATGTGTATGTATGCATATGTCGTGTAAAAGTCTCTTTTATCGTGTATAATATGTGAGAGTGTGTGATGAGCAGCAACGAACGGGCGCCGCTGCTTTGCGTTTATGCGATTAACGGGGGGAGGGGTGGGGAGGGGGAAATGTGGAGAAGGGTGGGAGAGGGTTAAGATAAGAAGAGGTCGAGGGTTGATAAGGGTGCGTGTGTGATGAGTTTAAAGAAAAAATAAAAAAGAAAGAAAGAAAAAAGATGATGAGAGTGGACTCATAGGAAAAATTAAATAGGACCTAATTATTATTATTATTAGCGAGAGAATTATGAAAAAAGGAATAAAGAAGAAAAATAAAAAATGAAATGAAAATGTTAAATAAAAAAGATAGAGAGAAAGAATGTGAGAAGTAAAGTAAAGTAAAGTAAAGTAAAGTAAAGTAAAGTAAAGTAAAGTAAAAAGGGATTTGATGCGTTTATGAAGAAATAATCTGGCTGTGCGTTGATCGTTAATAATTTGTAAACAATTTATCTAAAAAAAAAAGAAATTTCAAAAGGTAAATTTGATTAATCGCGAAGAGTTGGAAGAAGAAGAAGAAGAAAATGAAGAAGGAAATTATTAAACGAAAATATGAAAAGTAAAATGCGTTATGTGCTTACGATTTGAAATAATCGATGGATTATAGTGATAATTATTAAAAAAAAAAAAAAACATTAGCTAAGAAAGAGAGAGAGAGAGAGAGAGAGAGAATGCTGAATGAGATGCACAAACAACATTGTTCATTTTTTTTTTATTTACAATTTTTGTCTACGTTCTACTTGTCGCTCTTCAACCGAATCCTTTTGTTTGTTTTTTTTTCTTTTTTTTTTTTTTTTGATAAAATAAAACTTTATGATATATCAATTGACGTAAGTGAAATTGCATCGAAGATCGGAGCAGTTTTTAAAGTAGTCAATTTCTTTTATCTCAACAAAAAAACTTTGTTCATTTTTAACGAGTCGTCGTCCTGTTATTATATCTAATGATTTTTTCAATGAAATTATCTTCTCTTATCTTCGATATAATTAACAAATCTGACGAATATAAAGCGTAAAAATAGGTGCGACTAAAATGAACGAATGTTATCGACACCGTTGTTGTTTCTAGTCGCTTAGGTGTTTTTTCTAAATTTTGATATCCTTTATATACGCATACACATATACATGTGTAGATATATATGTGTGTATATATATATATACATATATATATGATGTAAACGCGATGACATTTGTATACGTTTTACAATTCAACCTTTTGCAGTAAACAATTTTCGAACGATATTTCATAATTTTGCACTTGTCCAATGTCTTTTTTTCATTTATCAACTAAATCTAGATTTTTCTTCCCCCAAATGAAAAAGAAAAAAAATAATCAATTACT